GGGGGCGTGGTGGCCTCGCTATGTGGGTGTGGCACTCGCCAGGAGGGGGGGGGGCACGCGATGCCCAGCTTGTCCAGAACGGCTGGTGCACTATCGCGACAGTGCGCTGTCCATGAGACCGCTGCCCCAGCAACCCGTGACCCGCGGGGTCACCCCGGGGTCACGGCAGCAGCGCCGCGAGGTGCCGCGGCCTCGCGCGCTCCGCGGGTGGCGACGGCGCGGCGCACACGGGAGGCCGCCGCCGTCCTGGCAAACAGTCACCCCGCGCCGCACATGCCCGGCCAGCAAAGGGGGTTATTCAAGAATGACTGATGAACAAGCGGAAACTGCTGTTTCAGCCAGCAGTCATGAGCCCGGCGATAATCTAAATCCACGGGGAGCCAGGAGCTCGAGCGGCGGGTATGGCTGCGGACTGTGTACCCCATTGAGGTGGCGTGTACTGCCAACCTGGCAACAAATAGGGGGTCGTCCAGGGGGTACGTCCGCTTCTCGGATTCATTCGGCATGATACGGGAGCTCAGCGCCTGCGAGACTCAGTGTAGGCCACCCTGCAGTACACGCATGCACTGCAAGCGAGATGTTGCCTACCGATCAGGCGCTCTGAGCGCTTGCACAGGCTGGACTTGGCAGGCTCGACACGGCAAACGAAGGGCGCGAACTTTCCGGATGATCCCTAGTCGCCGTGTACTGCTGCACGGCTCGCGCGGTAAAGGTCGAGCGTTATTCGAAAATAACTGGTGAGTACATGGTGACGACCGAGCCTGGGGATAAAGTTAATCCGCGGGAAGCCGTAGGAGGCAGCTCGGGTGCTGGGTGGTATGACAAAGGATTATGTACTGCACTGTGCTGGTGTTGGTAGGTCGGTGGGAGGAGGTCTGAGATGAGGAACAAGGAAAGTTACGCGGTGGATTAAAACAACTAAGGGATCGAGTAGACTGGTACACTCCACCACAAAGTCAAACAAGCAAGGGGCGGCAGGGCGCGACCGCTGAGCGCGTCACGTCGGCGCGCGCCTGCGAGGCAATCTGTGCCGAGCCCAGCCATCGTCTATCTCCGCTCGCCACCGGAGGTCCGTCTGTCCGCCTCGCATGCACTTACTTGCAGCACCGCATCTCCATGCGCAAGTGTCGCTTAACGTATTATGTCAGCAGTCGCGCGCTCGCATTTGTCAGTCATTCGCTCGCTAGTAGACGCTATTCCAGGAGGATGTTCCAGGAAGCACCCGTGGGCTCCTGGAACCCTCCCGCTGTGCCCGGCCGACAGCGCACTTCGTTATCCTATGGAGTGTGTGTGGGGGGGGGGGGGGGCACGTGCCTGCCTGCCTGCCTCCCACCCTTCCGCAGCTTTGCCGGAGTTACGGTTACCGGCATCGCTCTGTGTGGCGTCAATAGTGACATCACCAAGTAGTAGAAAGTGGAAAGTGGCTTGAATGGAAATTTCAAAATAGAGCTATCTGGGCAAACAAAAATGCATCATCCATTTCTTTGTGAAATTGCAAAATATATTATCAGGCCCTCCCTCGTGCTAGGCAGGCACAACGTGCCCCCTCAGTTCTCAGGACCTTCTGACGCCCCCTGGTTATCCTCCGCCTGGAATGGCGCGGCAGCCGCGCGGACAACGAGCATCCCAAGGATCTCGGTGCCGCTCAGCAGCGCCCCGCGCTGACCGCTCCGCGTCAATCACCGATCAATCCATCAATCAATCAAGCACGTATGGGTCGGCTGCGCCCGGCCGGTAGGAGGCTGGGGGCTTCCCCCTGCACTCGTGGCCCCGCGCCTCGCCCCGCCGCCCCGGCTACTGCCGGTGAGGGCGAAGAGAAGCAGCCTAGCCCGAGCCCGAGCCACGCGCGCGCCCGCCAGACGAGCGACCAGCACGAGCTTCCGCAAAAGCGTCTGGCTTTTGTTTCCGATTGTCTGAACGGGGCGCCGCGGCTTTTGCCGTTTTCGAATAAATTTTGGGGTTTTAATGCCTCGCCCGCCCGCTCCGCTACAGTCTCATCAAAAAGTAGCGAAATCACTGTCGGGCGCGCGGCCATCACGCGGCCGCCGTCGTGACGAAACGCGGGACTGGTCGTCCTCCGCGGCCCCTCGGACGGCAGCCCTCGGCTGTGACACTGCCGCGCGGCCATTGCCTGCTCGCCGCTGGAAATGCAGTGCCGTTCGAGGCCGGTCGGCTGTTGATTTAGTTGTCCTTCGCGCGCCTTTCTTTCCCCGCCTCGTCGCACCTCCGTGCCTCTCGAGAAAGCGGGGTTTCAATACTTATTTGCAGGAATTACTTTTTGCTTCCGTTTTCTCTCCCCGTATTGAAAGAGAGGTGGTTGCAGATTGAGATCAGAGGTGTTGAGATCAGAGGCACTCGGTACGGCACCACACGCTTGCGTTGTGCGTTCTCAAAGTATTGTCCGCCTGTGACACATCGGCACAATGAGCAACACTGATAAACTAAGTGTGCAACCGCTTAACACTTGTAAGTGTGCAACTGCAAGTTGATTACTTGCAAGTGTGCAACTCCGTGGTTGTGTACACCTTCCAAGTGAAACTTAGGTATGAAGCATGAAGCACGAGACACGAGGCACGAGGCACGAGGCACGAGGACCGAGGCAGCGGCTGCGCCGATCGTTAAACCAGTTTATTGGGCAGAGAAGAGAGATGAGCGGCGCGGTTCGAGCCATTCGTATTCATATCGACGATCCCTCACAGGAGGTAGGAGGCTTTCACTCCTGCCGGTGTTTGGATTAAAAGTAACGGCGTAATGAGGGTCATAAGAATAACGATGAAGGCTTTTGCGCACCGCAGACGGTCGCGTGCTGGGGTGTGGCGGGGCGTGGCGGGGCGTGGCAGGGCGTGGTGGGCGTGTCATGGACTAATTTGGCGCACGGTCGCAACAGCATGTGTAGCGCCAGTCGCGGTGGCAACAGCACTGCCGGGCGACGGGAGGTAATGTACGTCAATCCATGACTTCTTTGCGACCTGGGTTTAGCGGGCGCTGTGCAGCTGTGCTACCGAGCGCGTGCTGCCGCCTCTGCCGCCGCCGCCGCCGCCGCCGCCGCCGCCGGCGTCACGTCGTGGCGCCTCCCGGTAGCAAGGCCCCCCTGCGGCCAGAGCACTGCCCTCCCCACTCCGCCTCTCTTGAGCAATTAACCGATTACAGAGCGTTTCAGCATCCCAAAGCAAAACCACAGCCGGAGTAGCGGCCGGCCGGCACTCGCCCTGGTCGCGGGGCAGATGGCCGCAGATGCCCCCGCCGCCCCGCCGCCGCGGCAGGTGCCCAGCAGCTGCACGGCTGCTGCAGGTGATCCGAGAGGTGACCCAGAGCCCCACTGCCGCCGCCCCCACCAGGCTCCCGCCCGCTTGCACAAAGTGCTGTTACTGTTGCTCCAGTGAGCCCCCACCTAGAGAGGGCCGCGGTCGCAGGACGCCCCGCTCCAGGCAAATGAATCCTCCATAAAAAAGTAAAACCTCCCATCAATCGCACACTACAGTATTCTGCTCCCTTTTTTTGCCCGACAGTGTCGGAGCGGCCTCCCTCTCAGATGAGCGGCAGTAAAATCCGCCGATATAAATCGCATCCAGCGATCGGCTCTGGCTCCCTGACCTAACGCAACGGCAACTACCGACTGCTTTAATCGCTCTTTGTGCTCGGCCCCACCCCGCCACCCCACCGCTCGGCCCGCCCGCCCCGCTCATCCCTTTGACGTATACTGCCGCGCGCATAAATCTTATTCCTCCACGACACGGACGCGTGAGATCGGACGGATCCGCTGGACGTGCTTGTTGTAGCCGCCTTCAGGCCGCCTATGGCTATAGTCATGGGCCGCCGATGGGCCGCCTGGCGCGGCCCGGGATGCTGGTTGCCGGTGTGTGGAATGTTGCACGACGCTCGCTCCAGATTATCATTTTCTGGGGCGCTGCCCGCCACGTGTGTTTTCCCCGCCACTTTTTATTCTTCAAAAGTTTCCTTTGGTTCCCAACTTGCCTAATATATCCCGCCCGTCCCTGCGGCTCGGCGCTGCCGGGCGTAGCGGCGGCGGGAGGTTCAAAGGGGCGGGGCGGGGCGGCGAGGCGCCTGCAGACTCCGAGTAGACACCCCGCCGCGCGCCGGTGCGCCGCAGCCCTGTCGGTGGCCTACCCTCGCAGGCGCTCACCCCTCGGCCCTGGCCAGCCCTGGCCTGCCGCCGCCGGCCGGTGCCGCTGCCGGGGCCATCAGGAAATAATCGTAATGCGAGTTTCACCCACGTTCGGCGCGAACAGAGTGTGTGGTTTTGTGAGCGCCGCCTTTGTGGGGCGACAGCGGCGCGCGTTACATGACACACGTCCGGAGGTTTATAAAAGGATTCCGCAGGGCCACACGAAGCGGCCGAACAGACCGGCACCGCGTCACACACGAGCGAAGTGTATGTGGCGTGGCGCAACAATACCGGCTGCAGCGCGGGCCGCCCGCGCGGCCAGGGACGAAGGGGTGAGGGGCGTCGTGCGATAGGCGTGTAGGGCGGCAAGGGCTGCGGCAAAGTAGCCAAAGATGAGAGAGTCCCCCCCCCCTCCCTTCCCGGCTGTCCGTCAGACAGCCTAGCACAGCCTAATTGCAACACACTGGCTCGTGGGCGGTCACTTAGAGGAGCAGGAGAACAAACGGGAATCAACGGACAGATCTAGTCCAGAGCGGCGGTGACAAAGGACAGCGCTGCTGGCTGCTGTCCGTGGACAGCCCCGGCTAAAGCCCCGGCGCAGGCGCTGTCTGTCCGTCACGGCCACCGCGCCCAAACCCTATCCGGGGGATCCGGGGCGCCGGCCAAGATATGGCTTATATGGCGGAAAACGAACGGGGGACAGACGGGGACGGACGCGGACGGGGAGCTCAGGGGGCGGAAGTTGGAACCGGAAACAGCGCCGCCGGCTGAGCTCGCTCGTCACCAGTCTGTCCCAAACGAGCGAAATAATTAAGTATTCACAAACCGTACGACACAAAGAATGCATCACGATGAAAACTCAAACTCTTTACAGGTGGAGTGCTCGAGCCGTTCGATGACTTCTCCTACGAGGGCAACCAGGGCCCGGACCACTGGGGCGAGCACTACCAGACGTGCCGGGGCAAATACCAGTCGCCCATCGACATCGACGAGCATCACGTGTCCCGGGTGCACCTGCCACCCATCCGGTACGAGGGCTTCGAGACGCCGCCCGAGACCTCCACCATCACCAACAACGGCCACACGGGTATGGGGCAGCGCCTAGGCTATATAGGCGCCAGTGTACAACAAAAGACGACATCTTAATTTATGTCTCGTTGCGTCTGTGTCTCACGCAGTCCTGCTCAAGTTCAACATGTCGGAGCCCGCCATGATCTCGGGCGGTCCGCTCAAGGGCCGCTACGTGTTCAGTCAGCTGCACTTCCACTGGGGCCAGAACGACTCTGTGGGCAGCGAGGACCTCATCAACAACCACAGGTAACAGCAATTTTAAAACCCATCACGCGAATGTTAAAGGAGCGTGTATTTTTTTTTAAAGTGTAACCTTTTTTTTTGTTAAAGCTACCCCATGGAGTTGCACATGGTGTTCTACAAAAGGCAGTATGGCTCGCCGGAGCAGGCGCAGCTGCATAGCGACGGCCTGGTCGTGCTCGCCTTCTTCTACGAGGTGAGAGAGACAGAGAAAGAGAAAGGGAGGAGGTAGGATGGGGAGCAGGGGGAGGACGGAGACTGCGCCAAAACGGAGGCGCAAATGCTATTGGTGGCGGCGTGACGATGTGACGATGCTGCGCGCGGAATACATAGCGTTACTGCGGGTCGAACCGTCACCGCACCACGGCCCGCCCCGGGCCGCCGCGCTCCCCGCGTTCGATGGCGTGAATACATTGTGCGGCAGTGCCGAGGCAGTGCCCATGCCCATCCCCATCCCCATCCCCGCCCCGCGCTGAGAGCGCCGCTATAGTGGCCCCGAGGTCACCACGTGGGAACGGGTACTGTACACATCTAATCTTACCTAACCCAGCGTGGCGGCCCCTTAATGAATGGAGTGGCTAACTGCTGAACTGCTGAACGAGCGGGGCGCCGGCCCATAGCGCCGGCCCATAGCGCCGGCCCATAGCGCCACGCGCCGTGTCAGACCTTACGTCATCTGCCAGGGCTGGACCCATTCACACCACCGTCCAATAGCACGGGAGTATCCGAAAGTGGCGAGCTTAAAGACACCCGACTCCTTGCTCCTCCCCCCCTCGCAGGTGATGCCGTCCGACAACGCGGTGTACTCGGAGATGGTGGACTACCTGCCGCACATCGAGACGCCCCACACCAAGTTCGGGCTGCGGCGGCAGCTCACCCTGGCCTCGCTCATCCCGTGCGCGCGCTCGCACTACTTCACGTACCACGGCTCGCTCACCACGCCGCCCTGCCTCGAGGTCGTCACGTGGATCGACTTCAAGCACCCCATCCGCCTGTCGCACGCCCAGGTAAGCCAGTTGCGGGCTCAGACAACAAGACGTCTCCACATGAGCATGCCCGCTATCGCATCGACGTCGGCTGATGTCATTGCGATGTAGACGCCGAATCGACGGATTGTCAAATCACTTGTTTGTATTTGTGATTTGAGTGAGAGAGAATGAGGGTAGGGAGAAACCCTTTATGGGGAGCGCTCGTGCCCGCTTCTGCTAAAGCCGCGGGCCCGCGGGCCCTAAAGCGAGGCTCTTTCGCTCATTCTCGCGACGGCGGGTCGAATAGGCTGCCTGCCCACCAGGCGGCACCAGACGAGGTCGCACTCCTTCCTCACCTCCTTGTCTTTCTCTGCCGCACAGCTCGAGTCCTTCCGCCGCCTGCGGACGCAGCACGGCTTCCTCACGCACAACGCGCGGCCCGTGCAGCCCCTCGGCGGCCGCAACGTGTGGTATAACGCGGGCGAGCTCAACCTGGACGACGCCGACTCGGCGTCCGGCCGCCCCCTCTCCAGCTTTAGCTCCGGCGCCGCCCTGCTCCTCGCGCTCGTCCCCGCCTTCCTCGCCAGATAGACGGGACGCCGCCGTAACGGCCGACGATGCCCCTTGCTCGCCAGGGGTGGGGATTTAAGTGCGACACCACAAAAAAAAAATTGTAGATCCCCCATCCCCCACCACCACCCTCTCCCCGAACATGGCTGAATTTTGCCTAAAAGTGATACTATGTACTTGTAAGCTACTGTATTTATTATTGTTTAGATGATCGTTTCGTTAAGAACAGAGGGCCAAGAAACATTATGTTGCTCTATGCATTTTATTAAATCTGCCCCATAAGATACTGCGTGCCATTGTTTGACTGAGCAAAAGGAGATAGCAGAACTCTGTTTTTAGTTAGCTGATAAGTAAGGTAAATCCCCAATTTAGCTTTCTAAATGATTCAAAATTGGGAACCTTAATTTTATACCAAAGAGATAGTCATATCGCTCTAAATATTTTGGTGTGCTAGAAAAAAAAATACAAAAGTATTTCTGTACAGTAAAAATATAATTCACTATTCCCTCTAAATTATATTGGAATAAATTTGACAGGTATGCTGGTATGCCTTCACAGAAAAAAAAAAGACTTCAGTTTATATAAATTGATGCAATGCAGAGAAAGTTTTTATAAAATCTTTCTAGCACATTCAAATAAAGTACAATTATAATTGTGTATTTTCTTGTACTTAGACCTAATACCGAACAACAGAGAAAATGTAATCTACAAGCATGTAAAGAAAGACATGAGAATAGATTTCAGTAATTTGTTGTAAGAGATATGAAATGTAAAATAAAAATTAAAAGGTTTCTGCTACTAACATTTGTTTCATTCCCTCCAAACCATAAATTACAACTCATGATTTACTTAAGCTTCCCTACTGATAAAGGATTTGGTAGAAAGAGCTTGTAACTGTCAATTAAAAGACCGCCTATTTGCATTCTCAACTTAATAACAGAAATCGCAGAGCCAAAGGCAAATTATACATTCAAAAATAAAGAACATGAAGCTGACAGCTTCCCCAACAAAGCAAGTGGTATTTTACCTATCTGAGTCCTAGGGACTTAATACAAACTTACAACTAATCATCATCATCTTTCGCTTCTGCTAACTGGGCTCGAGCTCCTGCATTGACAGCTGATGCTAGATCATCTCCTTGTTCCAGGCGTAATCTATCACGAATAAGTTCTGCAATTGCGCGTTGTGTTCTTTTTTCTAATTTCTCAAGCTTCTTTGCCACATCTCGCTTCAAATCCCAATCTGGCTTTCTGGGTGCTAATGTTGTAATATCCTAAAATGGAAACAGTGATTAGATGGATATGAATCAAAATTTGAAGATTTTGACTTTCCAAAAATATTTTCTAACTCACCAAGTCATCCATCACAACTCTACTGTCAGCTGCGGCAAGCTGTTCTTTTACTTCCTCGGCCACATCTGCAGGTTTAGCACTTGGCATAACACTTTCCTTAAGTGATTCATCTTGAGGTTTATAACTGCGAAACTTAGGCCTGGAATAGATTACAAACAATATCATATTAGGCACTAAAAATCCCAGCAGAATAAAGTACAAAGAGCCGTCCAACAGATAAGGTAAACCATACGAACAGATAACAAAGTACTCTTTGACATTTTAGTGTGTATGATTGGGATACTAAATACCATATAATAATGATGATGGGCTATTCCTACTTACTTGGGGAGGGGAGTTGGATTTTCAATCTTTTGTGGTTCTTCTACTGAATCACCGCCGGTTTCATGCTTTCGTTTCAAAGCTTTCAATCTTTCTTTCCTCTTCAGTGCCTCTTCCTCCAAAGGTGTCAACTTTCCCTCTGCCATCATGAAGTTTGTGTACAAAATCCGAGCAGTCTAATTATTTGACGATAGTATTTTTCGACAGAAAAGAGAACAAGAAAGTTAAATCACCAACACAAAACAAGGCATAAGGTTAGGTTTTCAACGTAAACATTCCGCCGAAACAGTTGAGCAGATATGGTATGAAAAGTTTTTACACATGTGTATATGAAAATTTCTTCGGTCAGGAGTTTTGGTTTGGACGCCAAAAGCGGCTGACACTGTTTACAAAAGTACACCTATCGTGAAAATATCGTGAAATGAACGGCCCCGCTTCAGACAGTAATTCTGATGACACAGACGATGAAGTCGACGCAGAAGAAGAAGATGTATATAGACGTAAATATCAGCTTTTGCTGGAAAGATGTGAAGTTCTACAGCAGGTAAACACACTAGTAATGACCCTAACCTATAAATATGTTGATAAATTTCCATGTTTACCTTATTTTGATTATACTGAGTTAGTTTTCTTTATTTTAATTTTAATATTTTATTTACAGGACAACGAGCGTCTTGTTCACAGAGCTCAGCAGGTGAAGAAATTGTTGCGAAGGATACGAAGAGAGAGGAAGTAAGATTTCAGTTTTCCCCTAGTTCATCTGATGTAACACAAATCCATCAATGTCTTTCTAAATTCCTAATGTTCTGTTTACCTTTTCAAGAATTTTAATGGAACGCTTGGATACTTATGGTGACAATTGGAGGAATGTACCAATAACATTTGAACGTGATGAGATCGTGGCACAACAGCAACCTATTAAACGTGAAAAAACATCCACCCCTAATGCGGGGGGAAAAGCTGGAGGAGCCCCAGGAAAGGTACTAAACATTCATTTTAAAACTCCTTCCCACATTGTTTTTCCTCAGCGTGATAGTAAAAAAAACTTTTAATGTTTGAAGAATCAGGGAACAGGTGAAAAAGGTCGGAAAGGGTCAAACAATAACACAGCAGGAACACCAAATACAGGCTCCACAACAAAACGAAAAACAACGAAAGGAGACAAACCCGAAAAAGATCCGAATGCACCAAAACGTCCTGCTAATCCATTCCTGCAGTTTTGTCAAGAGCAAAGGCCACTTGCTGTGACAGCGGCAGGCTTGGAAAGAGCGAGTGGAAATAGTGAAGGTGAAACATCTAAACAAGAAATCACTAGGCAATTAGCCAGCAAATGGAATACATTAGCACCAGAAGATAAAAAGGTTAGTCTGTTTTTGTTCATATACTCTATGTATTCAAAAATTAGATGAGTTGATTATGTTGATTGTAAATTTTATTTTTTGCAGGTTTATTATGATATGTATGAAAAGTCTAAGGAAAAATACGCCGAAGAAATGAAATTGTACAGTGCTAATAATAGAGCAAAGACTCCAAGTGACGATAACCCAAGCTGATGTTGAGTGTTAATTAGGTCCACGTCTACTTCAACTCTGTGATACTAAAACTTGTGTTCATAGTAAATTTACACTAAAGTACCAAAAAATTAGTGGTTTGTTCTGATTTGGATATTTGTAACTAGTGAATTGAATTGTGTTTCTGTTTATTAGGTAAGTGTTTTTGATGACTGTAATCTCTGGTAACGAGTGATTAGTTAACGTATGTGAGGCAAGTAGGAATCAAATATACGTAATGAACAAATTGTGTAGATGTTACACATATCACAAATATTTTCTTTTATTTACTTTCCTTGTAAAAGTACTTCTTAAAATGATCAGTAATTCAATCATACTTTCCCTATTAAAATTAAGATTTAATCAGCATTTTCAAAATATTAACAGTGCTTAACCAGGACAACACAAACTTCACCTTGCAGCCAGCCCTATAGTTCTACCTATGGACATTTAACGGTGAGGGTGCTGAAAGAAGTCACATATTCTTAATTCTGTCGGATAAACCTAGATTTTGATGACTGAGCCGCCACATGTTGTGCCCACGAGACGTGTAGATGCGACGGGTGCGGGTGAGTCAGTGGTGGGCCCCGCAGGCTGACGGGTCACTCCAGTCCCACGAGAACTATTAAAACATTTTCCAGGTTGCGTGTCGCGGTGATGCAGGGGAAAGGAGAGAGAAGGGGGGGGGGGCAGTGTCAGGTGTCGTCTGGAGTGACGCCGGCGTTAACTACCGCGGCGCTCGGCTCTGCAGTGCGCGGGCTCTGGCTGACCGCTATTAAGAGCCTTGCCCGCTCCTGGGCCGCCTCGCGTCCTTGACCCGGCTCACCTTGCTGCAAGGCCAGGGCCAGGACCGGCCCGGACGCGGTGCTGTTCCGCGACTGTAAACCCTCCGATAGCGGCCATAAGCCCGGCTACGGCTACGACAGCACCTGCTCGCTCTTCTGAGTCGGGACCGTCGTTAGGAGCGGGTCCACCTCAGCGCACTTCGAAGTCGACGGGCTCTCCGATCTTAGGGTCGACACCGACGTCATCCTGAGGGTCGTCGCCGCGGAGGTCGTCGGCCTCCCGCTGCTGTTCGCTGACCTTGTCGTCCAGGCGGCTCCCGCCCTCGGCGTCCCCGGGGGCCGCACGGCCGGACCAGTCGCAGTCCGGCTGCTGCTGGGGCTCGGGGGCGGGGCTGCGCCACGGCGGCTGGGGTTCGGGAGAGCGCCGCCGAGACCCCGCCGAGGAGGGCAGGAAGTAGGTGGGGAGCAACGCCGGGCCCACGTCGTAGCCGCGGGCGGGGTGCACGGGCAGGTTGTGCAGGTAGGGGTAGTACGGGCTGGGGTAGCTGGCGCGAACCCACTCCTCCCGCATGTGGTCCGCGTTCAGCTGACGCAGGATCGACAGCTGCTTCTCCAGCTCCTGCAGGAGGCGCTTCTGGGTGCAACAGTTCCCGCTGCCGTCCCTTGCGCTGGCGCCACTGTGCTGGCCCGTAGAGGGGTAGTGACGCTGGACGCCCGCTGGCGCCGGTTGCTGTGACGGAGCCGCCTTTCCACCCACCTGCGCGAGCAACAAGGAAAATGTTCGTGAAATTAGGGATCGTCCTGAAAGTACGTCCGTTTGTTTTCTCAGATATGTCCGGCAAATTTACGGGAGCTCGGCGCCTGCGAGACTCGGGGTAGGCCAACCCGCAGAACACGCATGCACGGCAGACACAATGTTGCCTACCTCTCAGGCGCCATGAGCGCTTGCAGAGGAGACAGATTCTATTTTTCCCTGGCCTTGGTAAGCCAATGAGGATCTATCAGTAAAATCATTGTACTAAGAACAATTACACCATTCATCTAAATCACCCCACGTCTCTTCATCCACATTCACATAGTTATTAAGCAAATGCCGTCAGGCATATGGGCAACGCCCAACAGAGTAAAAATTCAAATGTAACTAACTGTATTCAGACTTCAATGGAACCATTTTAAAACTATTATCTGGATT